TGGTGCTGCTGTGTCACTGCAGCGTTCCCAGCTTGCAGCTGAGACACAAGATGGGAGGCAAAGAAGAGCCATCCTCTTCTCCCTCAACCGCAGCCCAGTGGTTGCTGCTCTCTGCCCTTCATTTTCACATTGAGAAAATTAAGGCTTTACATACAATGTCAGGATAGCTGAGTCACATCCAGGAGTCTGTTTGTTTTTTTGTTTTTTTGTTGTTTGCTTCTTCTAGGGACTGAATGATTGATTCTGAGCAGCCCTGGCTGTGCTGAAAGACTGGGACATGGCTAGGGTTTTTTGTCTACCCACCTGCAATTATTTCAGATATTTCACACCCTTCTGCTTTCCCTTCCCAGGAGTTTGCTAGTTATAAATAGCAGATGGATACCAAGGAATCAGAGCACAAACTTACATTTCCAGAGTTGTACTTAAAGTGTTGGGGGGAATTACATAGCATTTGCTAAATGGGAAGTAGCATAATCAAGCCAAGAATAAAAATCTTGTGATAAGAAAAGAAAAAATGCCATTTGCTCTTCCTCACCTGCCTCCTTAATCTGCTTTCAGGTTATTAACATAATTAATGCTGCCCAGGAAAACAGCCCCATCACAGTAGCAGAGGCCTTGGACAGAGTTCTGGAAATCCTGCGGACAACAGAACTTTACTCCCCTCAGCTAGGTACCAAAGATGAAGATCCTCACACAAGTGATCTTGTTGGAGGTCTGATGACTGTAAGTAAAATTACTGAAGATGAAATTACTGCCACTAGTGTCCTACATCACAGTTCAGTGCTCTGCTGTGCTAAAATTTCACAAGCAGTGGGAAGGGGACTCATAATTCATCAGCACCTCACTTAAATATTTTGGCCTCTCTACCAACAGTAGGCACCAAGATGTAGTAAGACATGGCCATGTCTTAGTCCATTGGGTGCATTCATCCTCATATATAAGTGAACATGGTTGCCACTAGAAACAATATCATCCAATCTGATTTGTCTCAAGGAGATACTTTTAAGAAGCCCTAGAAGCTTAAATGGGATTAGAGGGATGGCTCTACAGCTGGTCCAGTGCAAGAATGAGGTTACTTTAATCAGGTTCTGACTTTGATCCTGTGACAGAAGCAACACTGTCTGCTAGACTGCCTAGATTTCATCACAGATTACCTCATTTTTTTAACATACACTGAGCTAATCCTTCTCAAAATAATATCAAGAAAAGGAAAAATAAATCATAGTGGTTAATTTGAATTATGAAATCCAGTAGGTGCCGATGAAAGGGTCAAAGAGGGCAATACATTGTATAGTTAATAGTATCCTTTCTGGAGATCTCAATACTAGTGTTCATTGGATCCTTTGATGTCTGTTTTGAAAGACCTTAAAACAAGGATGGTTCTTATAGTGCTACAATAGGAGCAGTGCTTTTAGTATCGAGGAATAGTACCTAAAGAGAAAGTGCATGTAGTGTTTTTTGCAATTAATGATGCACGGATACTCTGCCTAAAATTTGCAATAAACTTGCTTTTTCAGGATGGCTTAAGAAGACTGTCAGGAAACGAGTATGTGTTTTCTAAGAGTAAGCCACCATTTTAAACTTCCCTTTGCATGTGTGACTTCTTTTGTAGATGCTAGTGACATAAAACTCCAAGATAATTTGCAGTGGGATGTATGTCTTTAGAAAAGGTTGTCTAGGTGACTGCAGAACAAGTGCTAGACTGCCTCCATTTTCAAGTTGAAGCAGGATAAAACAATGCATTTCAAAATGTAGAGAATCAGACTAGGAAAAAACTAAATTGCCTCTCAAAGAGATGTTTGCTGACTCTCTTGGTTTATGTACAAGTCATCTGTAATAATATAAACCACATATATTAGAGGTTTTTTTTCATGTAAGGAAGAGAGTTGTTTTTCTTGAGTAAGAGTTGTTTTCTACATGGAATTCTGCATGGGAGGGGCAGAAATAATCCAGAAATATTGTAATTCCCAAATTCCATTTTAACAGATATGAACCTGAGCCATAGTAACCTTTCAGTGCCAAACACCATCAATGATGTTCCGCCCTGTATCGCACAGCTCCTGGATAATGAGGAAAGCTGGGACTTCAATATTTTTGAGTTGGAGGCTGTTACAAACAAAAGGTACTGGACTCCTTTCCCTGGGTGCCAGCAAAAAGGTTGTTGAGGAGCTGTAGCAGAAAGCGCTTTGCTCTGGAATAACTGAAGCAAGACACAGCAAATCTGCAAGAGCTGTCTTTCTTTTTAATGTGTGTTTGTTGATACCACTTGTCCCATTTAATAAGCCAGGCACGCACCACAGTCAAGATGCGTGCACATGCCACGGAGAGCCCTGTGCAGACTGTTGTCTTCCCTGACAGCATCTGCAGCCCTCCAGGGTTGTTTCCCATTCAGCTTTTACCTTGCTTGAATCCTCTCCACTCCGTCCAGGTGACACTGTTCGGCATGGTCCGGTGTTGTTACGTGCCGGATGTCCCAAGATGCCCCTTTTTCCTGCTG